TGTCGTGTGCCGAATTTGGCATCACATTCTGTGTTGCGCGCCACAATCTTTGTGCTTCGGCCAATCGTGCACCTCTCAATTTTTGTAAACTGGTATGCTGCGCCGTGGTGAAGACATTTACTAGTTTACTATCGTGTTGCTTCAATGATTTTGTTGTACGGAAGCTCAGAGACATACAGATATACAGAGGGAGATGTTGGAACAGTTTGAAAACTTGAGAGTTTGTGGAAAAATTGCAAAAAAAACACTCGAAAAAGTCTTGGCTTCCAGTTCTTAATAATAGGGTTCTTAATATTAGTAGTTTGTTTTACAATCCTTATTTGTGTCGTGGTTATATACAAAAAGCACTCATCTCAGGGATGCTACAGGAAACCTCCACCATACTAGCTGGCTGCTCTAACCTCTGGTGTTTTTTTCACTCACAATGCCCACCTAGGGTTTTTAGCTGCCCACTAAAATGGCTAGATTCAGCACTTCTCATAAGGTGAAACAATCAATATAATTTTAGTTAAATTCAGTTTTATTTATAAAGCATTCAAATCACAACAACAGTTGCTTCAAGATGCTTTGTATTGTGGGATACAGTATTAACAAGAAAGTCCAAATATCAGACAGCCCCCTATCCTCATGCACTTGGAGACAGTGGGAAGGAGAAACCTCCAGCCGAACCAGGCTCAGTTGTCTGCCATGACCAGTTTGGGGGTGAGGGGACTGTGACAGGACAAAAGACGTACTTTGGAAGAGAGCCAGAGATTAATAATAACTAATGATTAAATAAGTGAAAGGAGATAAGGGAAGAAGAACTACGCCCCACAGTAGTCTAAGCCACTCTGATGTTTGTTATCAAGACAAATATGGAGCTATAGTCAGAGGCTGGTTAGCTTAGCTCAAGCAGAAAAGGTGAAAACAGATTAAAACACCAAATTTACACGTTGGTACGGATTACCATGTAAGGTGTTGGAGTGGTGTGAGTTGATTGTGTTACCTCTGGACAGACGTGCTTTGGTTTTGCTAAGCTATGCTAAACAGTAAAGCTGCTGGCCTTACAGTGGCAGCAATCTTTTCATCTAACTCTTGGCATGAAAGCAAATAAGTCAGTGTCACAAAATGTGAACTTTTGGT